CACCGGTACCGTACCCCAGTGTTACACAGTGACAGACCCGTCCCCACAAATACCGTAACCCTAGTGTTACACAGTGACAGACCTGTCCCCACAAGTACTGTACCCCAATGTTATACAATGACAGACTGACCTGTCCCCATTAATACTGTCTCCCAGTGTTATACAGGGACAGGCCTATCCCCACCAGTACTGTACCTGTGTGTTTTACGACGAGCCCCAGCCCCTGCCTGCAGCACTGTGCTTGATTTCTGGATGCGAGTAGCTACCTGTTCTCTGGCTGCGCTGAACATGGGCTCCTGAATGTCAGTGTACATGCGTCGCAGGGCATTGTAGCCACCGGGGATGCTCTCGAGGTTGCTGAGCGCCCGATCCTGATTCCTCATCATCTCCTGCATCATGGCTGGGTTGCGGGCTAGCTCCATCGTCTGTGGGGAGGAAGGGGGGAAAGAGTTAGAACGACACCTGGCAAGTGCTGTACCAGCTGAAAATGGAGTCTTTGAACATCGCAAAGAACGCTCAAATGCAATGCAGAGACTCAGACTGCTGGAGCTCTGCCTCCAAGCAGCCACCATCTCCTCACTCCATGCAATTGGCCAGCCTTCACTTGGTACCGGGAGGTTGCCGACAAATGTGGATTAACCAAAAAAAACCCCACTCTTCCTTTCACTGACCCACAGGAAGCCTGTCAGTTTGGACCAAAGGAACGTGGATCAGGAACATCAGCTGGCCTCATCTTTCCCTCGTGTTTGTTCTGAATTGGTTTGGACAGTAGCCGAGTGTTGACGTTGAATTGGGGGAATAATGCAGCCCTGTATAAATACCAGAAGACGTTCCTGATTCGCATAGCATGTAAACAGTAAACTAGCTCACAAATGTCGCACTGCACACCTGCCCAGCTTAATACCAGCAAAGTATTTTTTATTTAATTGTCTGCAAGGGCTTGAATCAGTGAGAAGCAGAAAGGCAACTGAAAAGCCTGTGCACTTTGCCCAAGCAAACATCTGCAGCCTGTTCGATCACAGCCCCAGATGTAAGCACAGGCAGTTTCAGCAAGGCTGTTAGCATGTATCATTTGCTGCTGCTGGCTTGTAGAACAGGACAGAACTGCGCAGTCGGCAGCTTTTCAACCGTACCGTGCACACAATTGAGTAAGACCTTGGAGCTGGGGGCTGTAGGGGTGTGTACAGAATGCAACTCATTGCCTTGGGACAGTGGACAGTAGGGGCACACGGGGATGGAAGATACAGAATGACACATAGGCTGGTGGGAACTTAGAGGGGCTGGGAAGCAGGAACAGAGGCACGGGGCTGGTAGAGACACAGAGGAATAGAGAGGGTTACAGGTTTAGAGAAGGTGGAGGAATGGGCAGCAAGTTTGTGACTCAAGGGAGGTTGCTTGAGACCGGGAGCGCACAGAACCACACTTGCCCGTTGCCCTGTGCCTCGGGCAAAGCTGTGGCTCAAACCCCCCACCCTGATTCACAGAGCAGCAAGAGCACCGGCTTTGACAAGGGGACTGATGCGTTTCTTCACCTGTCTCATAAGCTCGGGATTGTTCAACATGTGGCTGATCTCGGGGTTCCTCTCCATCAGCTGCTGCATCTGCGGGTTGGCCATGATCATCTGTCTCATCAGGTCCGGGTTCGACATCATGTTCTGTACAAAAGGGTTCTCCATGATCTGTGCTAGCATGTCTGGGTTCGACATTAGCTGCCGCTGCATCTGCTGCTGCAGCTCCATGAAATTTGCTGAGCCCATACCCAGACTCCCGAGGCCCGGGATACCACCGAAACCAGCTGCAAAATGAAAACAAAGCCATGTGCAGGGGACAAGCTCATTACAAACATTCAGCCCCTTAAGCCCATGCTATTGTTGCTGCTCCAGACCAGCCTCCTTCCATCCCCTTTCTTCACCTCCTCTATCCCCTTATCCTTCTAACCTTGTGTGTTTATCCAGTTTTGTCCCTGAATGTACCTCTGATAGTCAACTTGACCACTCCCTGTGGGAACGAGTCCTACATTAACCCCACTTCCTGGGGACCAAGTCCAACATTCATCACCAACATCTGATTGTGTCCCAATCAATGCCTCCAAGCGTGCACAGTGCATGGGAAATCTAAGGACAAGAGTCAGGAGAAGCAAGACTGGCCTGTTCACACCCCTTCCCCACCATGGGGTCCTAACCTCTACTTCAGAAACTGGCACACAATCTCTCTCTGCTTCATCACATTTGAACATCCCTTATCCAGTGCCCTCTCACAAAGTCATAGTCATTGAGTCATAAAGCATGGAAACAGGCGCTTTGATTCAACTAGGACCATGATCCCAAACTAGGCTAGTCCCACCTGCCTGCGCTTGGCCCATATCCTTCAAAACATTTCTTATTCATGGACTTATCTAAATGCCTTTTAAACATTGTAACCGTACCCGCACCCACCATTTCCTCTGGAAGTTCATTCCACACACTAGCTACTCTATACTATCACGTCTTTTTTAAAATTTCTCTTCTCACCTTAAAAATATGCCTCCAGTCTAGAAATCCCCCACCTAATGGAAAACACATCTGCCATTCACCTTGTCTATGCCACTCATGATTTTATAAACTTTTGTAAGGTCACCTCTCAACCTCCTACATTCCAGTGAAAAAAACCCCAGCCTCTCCAGCTTCTCCTTATAATTTCCAACAAAATCCTTACTCCCTCTGTCACTCACAGCTTCCCCATCCTTTCTGTCTCCTGTTAATAAACCAGCAGTGCTGTGAAGAAGCTCAAATCTTACATAATACAGATGGGGAGGAGGTAGACGTTCCTGTTGGGGTTGCAGTGCTAGGCACACTGCTCGTGCTGGTGACGGTGCCTGTGGGAGGTTCCGGTCTCGTGCTGGTCTCCTCGGTGCTGGGGGCACTGGATGACGTAGAGGGTTGTGTGCTGGGATCCTGAAGCCTGGCAAGATAAAGTGAAAACCACAGCGTCAACACGGACTGGAGAACACAGCCTCCCCGTCACTTACAGCAAACAAGGTCCAAGCGAGTGACGAATATCACTCCCTCACTCCACCCCATCGAGGTTACAAGCAGTACCAGGCAGCATGGCACAAAGAGCCAGACAAACAGGCAAGAACAAAGACAGTCAGGAAGGAAGTTCACTAGAACATGACCCGATAAGATTTCCATCAAACACTCCCAGGACAGGGACAACACAGGGCTAGTTACAGGATAAAGCTCCCTTGACGCTGGCCCCATCAAACACTCCCAGGACAGGGTAACGCTCCTTTGACACTACCCCCAACAAATGCTCCCAGGACAGGGACTACACACTGTTGGATACAGAGTACGGCTGCCTCTACACCGGCTCCCATCAAACACTCCCAGGACAGGAACAGCATAGGGTTAGATAGACAGTAAAGCCTTCTCTACACTAGCCCCAAACACTCTCAGAATAGAGACAACAAGGGTTTAGATAAACTGCAAGGAAAGCTCCCGTAACAATGCCCCCAATCAATCAATCCCAGGACAGATAAAGCACACGGTCAAATACAGAGTAAAGCTCCCTCAACACTGTCCCCCATCAAACACTCCCAACAGGGACTGTTTGGGGTTAGATATAAGGCAAAGGTCCCTCGACACTGCTCTCCATCAAACACTCCCAAGGACAGGAACAACATAGGGTTAGATACAGAGTGTAAAGCTCCCTCGACACTGCCCCCGTCAGATACTCCCGGGACAGGTACAGCAGAGGGATATACACAGAGCAAAGTTCCTTCTGAACTTCCCCAGTAACCAGTATTGGCCACACCACTGAAGATCGGCTTCCTAACACATTAGCTAACATTCCCATTTCATAACTACCTTTCCTTTGTCCTTTTGTGAGAAAGTCAGGACATTTTGAGCGACTTTATGAATTGCTTTGATGCCCAGCAGAGATCTGTCACACATCCCTGAATCCAGCACTGGACATGCACACAACCAAGCTATTTAAGATAGATTGGGAACTGGTGTTGATCATCACTGGCCGATTTCTAAGCCCTACAAAGAAATGTGAACCCCTGCTGCTGCCCGAGGGGACTTGAAGAGTTCCACACCAGCTCTTGTCCCTGGTCTGTGGTCCCAATGTGCTTCTGCAAAGGTCAAGGCCCTTCCAGCCAGCCGCAGAAGTGACAGTCTCAGTAGGAAACTGCATTGCTGGCATCCAGATCTTACAACCACTGGAATTCTGACGTCTCTACCTATTTCAGTCCACTCACAGCCCGCACACACACAAATCCAGTAGCTAGCTGAGGAATTCGGGAAGGTTCCGATGGTTACTCAATTGGTTACAACTAGTTGAGGAAGGGTCACCGGACCTGAAATGTTCACTGTTCTTTCCTTCACAGATGCTGCCAGACCTGCTGAGCTTTTCCAGCAACTTCTGCTTTTGTTCCTGGTTACAACAGCTTCATTTAAACCTGACTTATCATATCACTTAACAGCACCAGATCATCAACTGGGCTCGAAATTAGAAAAAGCACACTTGGGGCACTGGAGTGGCTGGATACAAGATTCACAAGGACATCACCTCAAGGGAAGGATTCGAAGGCTCTCAGTTGCTGAACAGGCTGCTCCTCTCAAAAAGAAGGGGTTGTGGAGTAAACCTAATCACGGTATTTAAAATGCTGAAAGAGTAGACACAGAGAACTTCGGGGCCGTCAATTAAGGACAGTCACAAATAAATGCAATACGGAATTCATGAGAAACAAGAATGTGACAGAAATGTGGAACTTGCTCCAGTACAGATGCACCGAAGGGGGAAGCTGGATAAAAGGCACGAGGGAGAGAGGAATAGAAGAATAAGGTGATAGCGGGATTATTTTCACTGCTCAGCAACTTCAGGAACACTTTACATGGCCTTCGTCGATCTGACCAAGGTTTTAGGGAACTCAGTCAGTGGGGAAGTGTTATGGAAGACCCAGTCAAACACAGACTGTCCAGGGAAATTCATCAACATCCTCCATCTCCTCCACAACAAGATGCTGGCGACGGTCCTCACCAACAGTAATATGACAGAATCCTTTGAGGTCAAGAGGTGTCAAGCAGAGATGTGTCGCTGGCACCCCCTCCCAACCCTTTTCTTCATCTTCATTGCCATTATTCTTCATCTTATCAAGAACAAGTTTTGTAGTGGTATGGACATTACATACAGGACAGAAAACTTTCTAACATCAAATGGTTGAAATTACTCCGCTAATGAGATAATGGCTGACCATCCAACTCAGTACCCTGCTCTCACTTTCTTCCCGAAACCCTTTGATCCCTTTAGCCTTAAGAACTATATCTAACTGCTCCTTGGAAAATTCGAAGCTTTGGCCTCAACTGATCTCCATGGCAGAGAATTCACCGGGCTCCCCATGCTGTGGGTGAAGACCTTTCTCCTCATCTCAGTCCTAAATGGCTTTCCCTTAGACTGTGACCCTGGTTCTGGACTCCCTGCTCACATGAACATTCTTCCTGTGTTTACCCTGTCTCGTCTTGCTAGAATTTCCTGGCTTTCTGTAAGATCACCCACCACCCCCCCCAAACACCCCACCCACCCACCATCATTCTTTTGAACTCCAGTGTTTACAGTCCTAACTGACCCAGTCTCTCTTCACGCATCAGTCATCCCAGGAATCAGTCTGGTAAACCTTTTTGCACTCTCTCCACAGCTAGAACATATTTCTTCAGATAAGGAGGCCAAAACTGCACAAGAAACTCCAGGTGGTGTCACCAAGGTTGTGTATAATTGCAGCAGGAATTGGCAAAGCCGGGGTCCAGGATAGTGAAAGGATCTGGGACCAACGGCTGGGACAGCAACAGAAGTGGAGGGGGCCAGCGAGAGAAAAACTGTTGTAGTGCAGCACAACTCCAGAGAGAGATGCAATCACGTCAGAGGCTGGAAAGATCAAGCAGCTGATCTCGAGTCAGTCGGAGGAGTCATGAAGCACAAACAGTTGCCACCTGCCCATTAAACAGCGGCCACCTCTTAGCTCTGTTTCTCCCACATCAATCTTGAGAGAACTGTGAAGGAGACACGTGGGTCATCACCTGCAAATACGATAGAATATTGAATGCTTCAGGATTACAGGGGCAGGCATGCGAGGTGGATGCAGGAGGGATTTTTCCTACTCTCAGGAATGGAGTTTGACTGAGATAAGGAGGAATTTCTTCACTCAGAGGGTGATGCTTCTTTGGAATTGTGTCTCTGGGTATTAAAGATATCAAGAGATCATAGAATCATAGAATCCCTACAGTGTGGAAACAGGCCATTCGGCCCACCAAGTCCACACCGAACCTCACAGCATCCCACCCAGACCCCCTATAAATCCACCCTAACCTCCACATCCCTGGACACTACAGGACAACTTAACATGGCCAATCCACCTAACCTGCACATTTTTGGACTGTGGGAGCAAACCGGAGCAAATTCCACACACAGTCACTCGAGGGTGGAAGTGAACCCAGGTCCCTGGCACTGTAAGGCAGCAGTGCTAACCACTGTGCCACCCCATACAAGAAAATGAAACAAGAATGTTGAGATAGAAGTTCAACCATGGCAGAGCAAGCTAGAAGGAGTGAATGGCCTACTCCTCCTCTTAGTTTCTTTTTCTCACTCATTTGTGCGGTGAGAGTATTGCCGGTGAGGCCAGCATTTATTGTCCACTCCTAATTGCCCAGCAGGCAGTTACAAGTCAACCACATTACTGCAGGTCGGTGTCACTTGCAGGCCAGACCAGTCAAGGAAGGAAAATTTCTTTCCCTAAAGGTCATCCGTGAACCAGATGAGTTTTTACGACAACCTACAATGGTCATTATCAGACTCTTAGCTCCAGATTCTTTACTGATTTCAAATTCTACCAGCTGTCATGGCAGGATCTGAACCTTGGTCCCCAGAACGTTATCTGCCTCTCTGGATTAATAGTCTAATGACAATCCACTAGATCATCGCCTCACTGCCTCCTCTGTAGTTTCTATTATTGGTACAGCAAACTCTCTGGACCAAATAGCTTAATCCCACCCCTGAAGCCAATGTTCCTAAGGTACCACCAGCTTCAGCAAAGCACTGAAGGATCAGATTGCAGTCTGAGTTTAACGTAGGGGCGAAGCTACCAAGGGCACATTGCCACCCGAGGGCACGTTTCCAATATGGTACAGTTACGAGGAGACAGCAAGAACTGTAGATGCTGGAGTCAGAGTCAATACAGTGTGGAGCTGGAGGAACACAGGAGGTCAGGCAGCATCAGAGGAGCAGGAAAGTTGACGTTTCGGGTTTACACACTTCATCAGTTGTCGTCCAGACGATTCCCTAGGATCTGAGCGAAGCCTGACAGCGGACACTGGAGGATGTCGCACTACACCCAGCTGCATTGCCTGGGGACCTTCAGTGTCCAGCTGCAAGAGAAGGCCGAGCTTCGGTTTCACAGTTTGCCCAGAAAGACGCCACCGCGCCCAAGTGCTGGCCTCAACTCTGTGCTCACGTTCCTCAAGCCAGGCTCGAGCCCCTGAGCTGCAGTTGCTGAGGTGACTGCACTCAGCCATGGCTGCTGCCTGGAAAAACACTTCACTGGCTGAGCAGCAACTTAACAGTTAGGGTTGAGCCTATCACACTGCACATGGTACAAGGCTCTGGTCCTGACGAGAGACACCCACTGATCCAGCCAAAGCGATGCACAGGAAAGGCACAGGGGCAGCCGACATGCTGCACTTTTGAGTAATTGGTTTGACTTACATGCTGCCTTAAAGGTTGCTTCGATGCAGGGCCTGAATGAATGTCGTAAGTGTTTGGAAACTACAGGGAATTACTTTAAGGGCAAACAAAAACAACATTCTAGAGGGAGACAAGAGAAGGAAAAACAAACACGAAAAGAAAGGATGCCTTGCTTTCAGGAAAATATTCACAGAGAGGATTTAATGTACAAAAATACAAGAGGCAAGGATAATACAGGAGCCAAACAAAGACTGGATACTAGAATTTTGGATTTGAGCAATTCGGACTTTCATGGGATGAGGCAGAGACTGTCCACAGTAAAATGGGAATCTCTGCTAACAGGTAGAACAACCGAGCAACAGTCAAGGGTGTTCAAAGAAATATTTAATGCAATTCAGAATCAGTTGGTATCCATGAGGAGGAAGAGCTCCACCTCACAAACAAAAAGCCATGGACATGTAAGGTGATAAGGGACAACAAAAAATTAAAAGGCCTTATAAAAACAAAGAACAGTACAGAGCCCAAAGATCAATACAATGATCAATAAAGGACCACAAAGCAGCTTATAAGAGAGGCTAAAAAGGATCACAAAAGGAAATTTTCAACAGCATAAAGGACAGTAAGAGGAGATCTTACAGTTATACAAAGGGAAAGCAGCTGGTTAAGGGTACTATTGGCCCACTGGAGGTCGAGAGTGGGGACACTGTTAATGACCATGGGGAAATGGCAGACATGCTGAACGATTATTTTGTTTCAGTATTCACAGCAGTAGATAGCTTGCCAGGAGCTCCAAAGAAATCAAGAGGTTCAGGGGCAGGATCTAAATAAGTAAGTCGTCAATAATGGGGAAATTAATGGAACTGAAGAGTGACAAATCCCCAGGACCTGACAGTTTCCATCCACAGGTGTTAAAGGAAATAGGACAGCACATTGCCAATGCTCTAACCATGATCTTTTAAGAGTTCCCTGATTCAGGAGTTGTACCCCTGGATTTCAGATTTGTTTATGCCCCACCATGCTTTAAGAAGGGTGAGAGAGAGAAACCAGGGATTTACAGACCAGTTAGCCTAATATAGCATCATAAAATCCCTACAGTGTGGAAACAGGCCCTTCGGCCCAACAAGTTCACACCAATCCTCACAGCATCCCACCCAGACCATTCCCCTGTAACCCACCTAATCTACATATCCCTGAACACTACGGGCAATTTAGTAAGGCCAATCCACCTAACCTGCACACCTTTGGATTGTGGGAGCAAACCAGAGCACCCAGAGAAAATGCCACACAGACAGTCGCCAGAGAGTGGAATCAAACCCAGGTCCCTGGCACTGAGAGGCAGCAGTGGTAACCAGTGAGCCACCATGCTGCCCTAACATCAGTAATGGGGAAACTGTTGGGAGTCTGTAGTCAAGGATAGGGTAACTGATCACCCCAAAAAATTTAGATAATCTGGGAAAGTCAGCATGGATTTGTGAAGGGTAGGTCATGCCCTACAAATCTGTTTTGTTTTGAAGAGGTGACACAGATAAGTCGATGGACATCATTTATATTGACTTCCAAAAGACTTTTGATAAAGTCCCACACACAAGAGGCTGTTAGTTCAGGTGGAAATTCATGGAACTGAGGGCAAGTTACTGACATGGATAGGAAAGTTGGTTGAGTGGCAGGAAAGAGAGCTGGAATAATGGTTCAGTACTTAAATTGGCAGGACATGACTAGTGCTGTCCTGCATGGATCTGTGTTGTGGCCTCAATTATTCACAATATTCACTAACAACTTGGGTAATGGTATAAAAGGGCAAATATTCAAATTTTTTGACAACACAAAATTGGGCAGCATTGTAGAGTGTTGACGACAGCACAAAATTGGAACAGGATATTGATAGGATTAGGTAAATGGACAAAGCTGTGGCAATTGGATTATGATATAAGCAAGTGTGAGATTATCTAATCAGACCAAAAAAAGGATAGATCAGGGCTTTTTTTAAATTATAAGGTACAAAGTTAAATACAGTGGATGTCCAACAAGATTTGGGGATTCAGGTGCACAGCTCTTTAAAATACCACAAAGAGGTTCAGAAAACAGTCAAATGGTTAATGGAATGCTGCCTTCATATCTAAAAGCTGGAGTATAGGGATGCAGACGTTACACTGCAGTTGTACAAAACTCTCGGTGGACCCCACTTCAATTACGGTGAGCAGATCCGAAAACCACACCTCAAGAAGGATGTTTTCGCTCTAGTGGGAGTTCAATGCAGATTTACAAGGCTGAAATCTGGACTTCAGGGGTTAAGTTATGAGGAGAGATTAGACAAATTAGGCCTTTATTCTCTAGAATTTAGAAGGTTCTGGGGTGATCTAATGAGGGTCATCATGAAATTAACAGGGAAAGATAGAGTAGGTAAATATGAACTATTTCAAGCAGTTCAGGACTCTTGAACCAAGAGGCATAATTTGAGAATTAGGGTCAGGCCATTCAGGAGAGATGTTAGAAGCCACTTCTACATGCAAATAAGAGGGGTTTGGAACTGTCTTCCTCAAACAGCAGTCAATGCAAATTCAACTGTTAAATTTAAATCTGAGGTAGACAAATTTTTTATTAAACAAGGGTTTCAAGGGATTTGAGCCCAAGGCAGTCTTATGGAGTTTGGCATCAGATCTGACTGAATGGCCTACTCCTCTTCCTATAACTGGAGACTCAGCCCCTTTTAAGCTCACACCACCCAGTAGGATAAGATTTCCAGGGAGGACACGAGCTGTGATTCCTGTGTTCAGAAAGATGGAAGTGGACACAGTCCAAGAAGAGTATGGACCTTGATGCAAGAACTTTTTTTTAGAAAAGTGCTGAGGTAGCACTTTCCTGTCTTGCCCCTTGGGAAGGTTGGTGGCGAGCTGCCCACCTACACTGAGCAGTCCGTGGTGTCATGGAAGGTGGCTTCAGTCTTGCTCAGCACACACTGGATCATAAATCTTGGAAACTAGCAAATTCCTTCACTGGGAAAGCAGAAACAGCTGCAACACAATCAATATTGCCACAGGGCAAGAGCTTCACTTAGCACTGAATATTATGCTGCTCCTGTCCTGGGACGGGGACAGTGTAGAGGTAGTTTTACTTTCAACTTAAAAGTAACAAGGGCTTTACTCTGCATCTAACCCTATGCTGTCCCTGTCCTAGGGGTGTTTAATGGGGGACAGTGTAAAGAGAGCTTTATGTGGTATCTAATCCAGTTTGATTGGGACAGTGTTGAGGTAGCCACTCAATATCTACCTCCCATGCTGTACCGGTCCTGGGAGTGTTTGATAGGGGCAGTGTTGAGTGAGCTTTAACTTCTGTTTATTTTCAGTTTAATAAAAGTAGAGAGAGAGCTTTACTCTCTATCGAACCCTTATACCCAGAATTTCAAGTCAGTCTGACAGCACTCCCAAGATCAAACAACACGTTGCAGACAGGATAGGGAGATCTAACGTGAGGGGGTCAGGGGCCCTGAAAGCACGAGAACAAAATGTCAAGGAGGAACACACATTGCTGCGAGCAAGCTCACTCCACCCGTCACCAGATTCTACACAAAAGTCGGAAAGGCAAGGTGAAAGGAATGAAGTCCAACGAATAATTGTGCACCCCTCGCCCACAAACCATACCCCCTCGCAGCATGTTCATGGATGTTTTCACGAGGCAACTTCCCCATTGTGACATAATCTCAAGATGAACTTTACTGCGCCAACTATCACAGGGTCCCTGCCGGGCTTGCCATTCGTTGACACGATGCAGCAAATTTCACAAGCATCTCTGAGCTCTGCTGCTCTCTCTTAACATAGAGGGAACTTCAGCTTGTCAAGTGAGAGGGACAATGATGAGGCTAACTGACAACAGAGGGACTTGCGCGCACACCTAGTTTGTCACCTCAATGTAACGGAAGACAGGAGATCCTCAAAGCCCTTACCTCTGAGCTGTCTTTATTACAAGATGCACGGTGAGTCCGTCTTTAATGCCGTGCTGGTTGAGTGTATCTCCATCCTTCAGTATCTTCCCTGCAAATATGAGAACCAACTGCTCCTGTTTAGCTTTGAATCGTTTGGAGATTTCATTTTTAAACTGAAGGGAGAAGAGAGAGAGGGAAAAAAAATTAGAATAAATGACATGCAAATATTCCATCATTCAACAAGATCTCAGAATTATCACTGTGCAGCAGGGCCCATTATATCTGCACCAACTCTCCAAGTGAGCATTATGACAGTGCCATTTCCGTTATCTTTCCCCATAACCCCACACCTTGTTTCTAGTTCAATAATCATTCAATGCCCTCTTCAATGCTTCAACTTACAGTGAACTCCAAACCCATTTGCAGTGTGAAAAAGTTGTTCTCATATCACATGCATTTCATTTGCAAACTACTTTAAATTCGTACCCTCTTGTTCTTGTTCTTTTTACAAATAGGACATGTTTTTGCCCGTCAACTCTATCTGGAACCCCTCAAGTTTTGAAAACTTCAATAAAATCTCTTTTCAGCCTTCTCTTCTCCAAAAGAAAGAAGTCTCAAATTCCCTAATCTTTTCTCATAACTGAAGTTTATTATCCGTGGAAAAATTCTTGTAAACATCTTCTGCATTCTCTCCAGTGCATTCACCTCCTTCATATAGTGTGATGCGCAGAACTCTACACCATACTCCAGCTGAGGTCTAACCAGTGTCCTATACGGGTTCAGCATAACCTTCCTGTTATTGTACTCTACCACCTTATTCATAAAGCCTAGATACTGCATTCTTTCTTATATTCACTCTCATCTCTCCTACTACCTTTAATAACTTATACACATAAACACAAGAGGTCTTTCTATTCTTGCTTACCCTATATATTATGGCTGATCTGTTAGTTTCAAATTCCACAATATTTTTGATTCCCTTGCCTAACAAAAATCTAACAACCTCAATGTTAGAAATATTCAGTGACACCTGCCTCCAAGGCCTCCTGTGGCTGAGTTTCAAAGTCACACAATCCTGAGAAGAGAGAAAAAAATCACATCTGGCCTAAAACAGCAACCCTGAAGTAGTGTCCCCTGGTTCCACAGGAGGAACCATCACTTTCACATGCACCTTGTTCAAGATCATTCAAGGTCTTACGTATTCCAATCAAATCATCACTCACTTTTCTAAACCGAAGCCTGTCCAACCTAGCCTTGTAATGCAACCCGCTCACTCCAGGTATCAGTCTATGCATTTTTCTTTAAATGAGATGACCAAAACTACACATGGTATTTGAGAAGTGATCTCACCAATGCTCTGTATAAATGAAGCATAGCTTCCTCACCTTTATGTGTAATAAATGCTAATAAAGGATAGCAGCTCTCATTAGCCTTAATTACTAGCTGTACCTGTGCACTAACTTTTTGTAACGCATGCACTGAAATACTTAAGACTTCTCTGCACCATGGAATTCTGCAGTTGTTCTACATTTAAGTCACATTGTTTTTTCATTCTTCCTGTCAAACAACTTCACCTGTACCCACATCATACTCAGATGTATGTCAGATTATTGCCCACTCACCATTACTACATGCAACCTCTGCATAACATACCTTCCTACCCACCTTGCTGTCATTTGCAAATTTAGGCACCACACCTTCACTCCCCTCACCTTTGATATAAAATCATAGAATCCCTACAGTGTGGAAGCAGGCCATTCAGCCCAGCAGGTCCATGCCAACCCTGAGAACAGCATCCTACCTCCCTGCCCTAACTCCGTAATCCTGCATTTCCCATGGCTAATCCACTTAGCCTGCATATCCCTGGATGCTATTGGCAATTTAGCATGGTCAATCCTCCCAAACCTGCGCATCTGGACTGTGGGAGGAAACTGGAGCACCCGGGAGAAACCCACGCAGATACGGGAGAATGTGCAAACGCCAGAGAGGTTGGAATCAAACCGGCTTCCTAGCGTGGAGGGGCAACAGTGCTAACCACTGAGCCACCATGCTGCCCCAAATAGGAATTACAAAAAGCTGTAGGACTTATCACATCCTGCCAAAGAAAAACGGGGAAAATAGGTTTAAAAAAAGTGGCAACTCTCCCGAAAAGGGATCAGAAAGATTCCACTCTACAGGCCCAACTGCATTTCCAGCTCGGTCAATTATGGGTAGAACAGCACCTCAACTTCTGAACATTTGCACAGCAAACACCCAAAAGCAGCACAGAGCTTTACACAAGATCCATTGCTGTTCACTCAATGCTCAGCTTCCATCATACGCATGGACATTGGGGCTGAGTGTATAGCAAGTTTAGATATGAAAGGGTTAAGCAAAGGAGTGCAATTAAGTCAGACTCAACCAGACACACAAAAATGCTCAGAAGCATCCAGAATCCAGCACAAAACTGATGCTAGAGAACGTTTACTAGTCTGACACTGTGTCCCTTCCTTGAGAGGGAAAGCATTCTGTCTGGATTCCCACTGGCAAGTTCGGGAGTCACCCCTCCCATCATTGCGACTCCTGGCCGCACAAAGGAAACCTGCAGTGGACTTCCAAGAGAAAAGACTCCATGTCCCAACGTAAGATCTAGAACGTAACAGTATTCGATACAGAAAGATCCCTCAGTTATAACACCTCAACAGGATTTAAAAACAGTTGAAAAATTAATGAGCTAGACCTGTGCATTTTGATGTGTCATGCAGTGAGCTGGCAAGCTTTCATTTTTATTCTGTAAATCCTTGACTTCTAATTATTTGAAACACCGATAATTGTGAAAACCTTATTATCTACTTTCTTTCGTTTTAAGGTTGGTTCACGTTTTTTGAAAGAATACTAGTTTGATTTATATTTATTTTAATTAACCTGTTCAGACACAATGTGACACACCTTTGGGGGGTGGAGGGTGCAGGTGGGACTTGAGCCAGACTTTTTGATCCAGAAGCAGGAACACTTCCACTGTGGCACAACAGCCCTTGCAACAACAGAGTTGAAAATATTATAGGCATTTACCCCTTTACTCCACTCTACTCCTGTGGTCAGTAACTGTCTTTTGTTATAATCAACCTGCGTAGACGTCTTATGACACTTCGATGGCCATAACATGTTCAGGCTGAACATGGACCTGGACTTTCTAATCCAGAGGTAGGAACAATACCACAGAGCCAGAAGACTGTACCTCACTTTACTTGCACAAATGTCACCATGGTGACTGTTCAATAAACCAAACCAATCACTTATCAAAACAATCGGATATCCCACTTCAGATGATAAATACCAGCCAGGTCGCCACAGGAACTAATCCAATGTCCTGGCAGCACAGCAATGTTATTTTCTCTTTAGACTGTCCCTCCCTAAATTCCCATGAACTGAAAGGGTCCTTGGCTATTTCAGAGGGTAGTTAAGAGTGAACGGATGACACCAGACTGGGTGAGAATGCAAGCTGTGAGGAGGAAAGTAGAAAGCTGCAAGAAAGCTTGAACTGACAAAATGAATGGGCTACAACATGGCAGATGGAGTGTAATAGAATTCACATTGGTAAAAACAGACAAAGGCAGAATATTTCATAAAGCTGTGCTTGGTTCACTCACCCTGCTGCGGTAATGAACTAACGAGCGAACTAACCACAGCATCCACAACCCGAGCTACAAATCTACTGAAGAACCTTGTATTTCAGAAAGGGTGGAAGTTTGGGATGTGCCAGTGAATCCTTTTCCGAGTCACTAAAGGTTAACGTGTAGGTGCAGCTAACAGTGAGGATGAGGTTTATTGGTCTTTCTCACAAGAGGATTGAAGTACAGAAGTAAAGATATCATCCAGCAGTTGTATAGCGTCTTGGTGAGACCTCACCTGACTGTCATATACAGTTCTGCTCTTCTTATCTAAGGAAGCATATACTGGCCACAGCAGGAGTGCAATGGAGATCCATCAGATTAACCCTTGGGAATCACCTTATGACAAGAGATTGAGAAGACAGGGCCTACAGAAATTCACACTCAAAATTCAGACAGCACTTTCCAAACCCACGACCACTTCTATCAAGAAGGGCTAGGGCAGCAGACAATACACAGGAACCCAGCTAGTTCCCCTCCAAGCCACTCACCATCCTGACTTGGAAATATATCACTGGGTCAAAATCCTGGAAATCTCTCCTTAAGGGCACTGGGGATCAACCTACAGCAGATGGACTGTAACAATCCAAGAATGCAACTCAACACCTTCTCAAGGGCAACTAGGGACAGGCACTAAATGCTGGCCCAGCTGCTGATGCTCACATCTCACAAAAGAATTTTTCAAAATTCCACAGAGTCACAGCACGGATTCTATGATCCAAAGGGCCCTTTACTGTGCTGTACAACTCAGGTCAAAGAATGAGGGGTGACTTAATTGAAACTTATAAAATTCTTCAGAGAATGGCAGGGTAGATATTGATAGGATGTTTCCCCAGGCTGGTGACTATCAAACTAGGCCATTTAAGAGAGGTAAGGAGGAATTTCTTTGTGGAGGTTTGAGAGTCTGTGGAACTTTCTACCCTACAGGACTGTGCATGTCCAGTCACTGAACAGGTTCAAGACACAGATAGTCAACGATAGAGGGAAATGAGGATTGTGTGGGCAAGTGACAGTATGATAGAAGAACAGCCATACGTTGTGGTGAAGATGAGTGGGAAGCCTTTAAAAATCAGAGGATAACTACAAAAAAAAAAGCAATAAAGGGGGAAATGATGAAATTTGACAGTAAGCTAGCTAGTAATATAAACGAAGATTGCAAGAGCTTTTAGATATATAAAACATGAGAGGGGCAAGTGTGGACATTGGACCACAGAAAATGAGCCTGGAGAAATAGCAATAGGGAATAAAGATGGCAGAGGAATTGAAGAGAAACTCTGCATCAGTTTTCACAGTGGAAGACACCAGCAGCATACCAGAACTTCAAGACAGTCAGGGATAGAAGCAAGTGTGGTGGCCGTCACTAAGGGAAGCTGAAAGGTCTGAGGATGGATAAAACACCCGTACCAGATGGAATACACGTCAGAGTTCTAAAGGAGATTGTAGGAAAAACGGCTAATGTACCACCCTGTTTAACAAGGGAGGGAGGCAGAAGACAGACACCTATAGGCAGATTAGCCTGACCTCGACCACTGGTAAGATTTTAAGAGTCCACTATCAGGGATGAGATTGCACCTTAATTGAAAGTCCATAGTAAAAAG